AGGAGACTCAGAGGGAATATGTTGGCGACATACAGGTATGTGAGGGGCTGTCACACGGAGATGGGTAGAGACCTGTTCTCCCCTGGAGAGGAAGGCAGGACCCGCTCCAACGGAGCCAAGCTCAGGGAGCCAAGGTTAATTTGGATGCCAGGAAGCACTTCCTGACAGTCAGGACCCCGAGGGTGTGGAATGTGCCTCCACGGGAGGTCGTTGAGGCCCCATTGGTGAGGGTGTTCAAAGATAGGCTGGACATGCACATGGTGGGCAGGTCGTGAGTGGAGCCAGCTGGAGCCGGGGGTCAGACTAGATGGCCTGGGGGGACCCTTCTGACTCACCTTGTTTCTACGTTTCCTGTAGGTCACAGAATATGTTTAAGTGAGACCCTTGCCAAACTGGAGCTCTTCCTGTTCTTCACAAGCCTCCTGCAGAGGTTCACCTTCCAGCCACCCCCCGGGACCACTAAAGAAGACCTGGACCTTACCCCTGCAACTGGGCTTTCCACACCCCCCATGGCGTACAAAGTGTGTGCTCTGCCACGCCAGTAAGACTCAAACTGCTGCTTGGCTTAGCCTCTGTACGTATATCTGTGAGCATTTCTTTATAATTTGGGCAGCAGCAAGAAGGAAAAGTAGTCTGGAACTTCTTGGCCCTGTGGATATGAGCCTCTGAGAACGTAGCCTTTGCCTATATTCCACAATCGTAGCTTTTATCCACATTGTGCCCCTGCGGCTTGAGTTCATGGCTTAAAGAGCGGCAACAGAATGTTAAGACCGATTTGATATAGAATTTCTACACACCCAGCAGTACTGGACTTGTTGGTTGCATCCAGCATTGCGATATATAAAAACAGCTGATTCTAGCTTCTACAACACAAAACACAACATGGCATATTGTCCCAGTTATAAAAATTACAAACACCAACAAATAAATCCTAGGTCTTTTAACTCCGAAGGGGGCGAGCATTCCCCACTCCCCACTATGAAATCATCCATTGGTCTGCTGTTCTCAGAGCTCCTGCAGCCATCTTTATGTTCCCAACGTGACAAAGAATATTTCCTGACTTGCCAGCAGACTGTAACCCCAGCCACACTTTGATGGGTCTCCTGCCCCGAGGGGCTACTTTCCCAACCAGGAACACCTTTGTCCTAAAATTTCAACAACGGCCCTAGAACAGGTTGAGGTGGCTGCCATCCACGTATTGGCAACGGAATTCTCCAGCCTTTCAGGGGATCACTCCCAGCAGAGACATGCAGCTGTTAAACAACAATGTGTGGCGACCCATAGGCTGAAGGAG